GGAGTGGGACTCAGGAAAGAAAAAGACAGAAAGAATGAGAGAAAGAGAGAGGGGGAGAGACAGAGAGAGAGGTAGAAGGAGGAGCAGGAGGCGAAGGAAAGGGAGGGAGGGAGGCCCCACACCAGTAGTCCCAGCTACTGGGGAGGCTGGGGCAGGAGGATCACTTGAGCCCAGGAGTTCATGTCCACGTTCCACCTGGGCAATACATAGCAAGACACACGTGCTCTCCAAAACAAGAGAAAAGGGGAGGGGAAGGGAAGGAGGGGAGGGGAGGGGAGGGGAGGGGAAGGGAGGGGAGGGGAAGGGAGGGGAGGGGAAGGGAGGGGAGGGGAGGGGAGGGGAGATCCACAGTGAAGCATTTCAGGGAAAGGTTACAATGTTTACAACTTACTCTCAAAATACTCTAGCAAAATGTGATGATGAAAATGACAATAACAAAATGTATAAATACGCACGTGTGTTTGTGATATATAGAGAGACGGGGGAGAGAGGGAGAAGGAGAAAGAGCAGGCAGAAACAAACGCAGCAAATCACGAGCGATTGGTGGACCTGGGTAAAAGCCTGAGGGAGTTCAGTGCACCACTCTTACAGTTTAGAAGTTAGAAATTTTTTAAATAAAAAGACTATTAAAAAAAAAAAAAGATATACTCTCATCCACCAAAACCACAGTAATAACAAATGATGTCAGAAATCCTGCCTCATATAGATAAACTATTTATAAAACTATTGACTCTTTTGTGTTATACTATTTGTATCGCTTTGGCTTGTTATGAAGGAGGTCTTAATCCTCAGTTTCATAATAAAATGTATTAGTTACAACATTTTCACTAAGTACTTCAGAAACTTGGCAACCCTGGACAGATCTAAAATATTGTTTCATGAAGTAAAGGCTGAGATGAGGCTGTGCCTCAGTCTACCATTCCCTGCAGGCAGAAGAAAGGCACGGCTGACCCTTCAACAGCATAGTTTGAACAGCATACGTCCGCTTCTACCAACATGACCAACCCCTCTTCTTCCTCCTCCTCCTCAGCCTACTCCACGTGAAGATGAGAATGAAAACCTTTATGATGATCCACCTCCTCTTACTGAATAAATATATTTTCTCTTCCTTATGATTTTTTTTTTCTTTTTGAGACAGAGTCCCACTCTGTCGCCCAGGCTGGAGTGCAGTGGCACCATCTCAGCGCAACCTCTGTCTCCTGGATTCAAGCAGTTCCCCTGCTGAGATTACACGTATGTGCCACCATGTTCAGCTAAGTTTTGTTTTGTTTTGTTTTTGTTTTTTTTAGTAGAGATGAGGTTTCACCATGTTGGCCAGGCTGGTCTCGAACTCCTGACCTCAAGTGATGCCTTGGCCTCCCAAAGTGCTGGTGGTGGGATTACAGGTGTGAGCCACTGCACTGGCCCCTTATGATTTTCTTAATAACATTTTTTCTTTTTGTTTTTTTTTTTTTTTTTTTTTTTGAGATGGAGTCTAGCTCTCTCGTGCAGGAGGGAGTGCAGTGGCACAATCTCAGCTCACTGCAACCTCCACCTCCTGGGTTCAAGAGATTCTCCTGCCTCAGCTTCCTAAGTAGCTGGGATTATGGGCACACACCACCATGCCTGGCTAATTTTTGTATTTTTAGTAGAGGTGGGGTCTCACCATGCTGGCCAGGCTGGTCTCAAACTCCTGGCCTCAAGTGATCGGCCCGCCTCGGCCTCCCAAAGTGCTGGGATTACAGACATGAGCCACTGCACCCAGCCTAACATCTTCTCTTATTAAAGTAACATTAGTTTACTTTAGTGTAAGAATATAGTAGATAATACATATAACATATAAAATATGTGTTAATTGACAGCTATGTTATCAGTAAGGCTTTCAGTCCACAGCAGGCTGTTCATTATGTTTCGGGAGAGTCAAAAGTTATATGTGGATTTTCAACTGAAGGGGAGGTCAGTGCTCCAAACCCCTACGTGGGCTGGTCAAGAGTCAAGTATATATGGAAAAGACGAAGCCACTTCCCTGCTGCTGTAAGAGCTGGGTTTGAGATTGACTGGTTGAGCTCCAGGCCCAGCTCATCAGCGGTAGCAATGGCTCCTCTAAAGAGGAGCGGCAGCTCCCAGCTGAACGGTCACACTGACCTCAGTCCAAGGCAGCTCACCGGTCAGGTGCCTTTCAGTGGCAATCGTTGATGTAGTTGTCCAGTAAAGGCAATATAAGAGAGCGAGTGAGAAGAAAATAATCTAAGAGCCAATGAGGTAGGGGAAGGGGGGTGGTGTTTAAATATTAATCGCTCTTTCTTCTCAAATGATCATGGCATGAGATGCAGTCCATTCAAGAGGCCTTCCAATTCCCGGAGACGACAATAAAAAGAAATTACTGCAGAAGCAAACATGACTCAGAGCTTCTCTTGTTCTCCCATGTTGTGAAATGCAGGGCTAGAGGCACAAAAGACCAAATGATCCTATGAGCTATTCTCACATTATAATTCTGGTGCCAAGGACATGGGAACACAGCAGAAGGGGCCAGGTGGGCCCTGAACATGTCCAGATGGTATCGGGATGGAGCTGGGATCCTGGCCACAGCAGAGGAAACTGTGCTGCTAACAGTCCAGCCTCGGGAGCAGGGAGGATCCTAAAGGTGAGCTAAGCATGAAAGAGAAGGCGAGAAGGAGCACAGGTCAGAAGATCAGGACATCAATTCTGAGAAAGAGATCAAGGTCTGCAAAGGGAGACAGCTGAAGAGAAAAATGCAAAAACACTGAAATAAGTGCAAATAAAGTTACAGGAGATAGAAAAGAAAAACTTCATAGCTTGATGATGAAAAAAGAAGTTTAGAAATAAGAAAAAAACAAGACATTAGACAGGAACTAGAAAATGAAACAAAAATATAAAATAATTGATAAAATGTATCATATTAAGGTTGGTTAACCTATTTCTACTAAATGAGACTTTGAATTAAGTGAACTGACTGAAGAGTAAAGTAAAGCTTTTAGGCCAGGCTGAGGCAGGGAAACAGGGTGTGGAGGCAGGGAACCTAAGGCTGTTTCACACTGACTTAGGAGAACTAAATTGAAAGGAAATCCCCATTCCATCCTAAGTAACAAAAGGACCTTTGCAAAGAGGCTACTCCCTTTGCAAACCTCACACCTTTTCTGGGAGGCAGATGGGAAACTGCAGCAAATGGCTGTCTGCAGCAAATCAGACAGATCGCCAGTTGAGTCTTTATTTGCATCTTTGTTTGCTTCAGCCTCTGAACTGAATGGTTGCTGTCCACAACCAATCAGACCGATTGCCTGCCAAGTCTTTGTTTGCAAAGAAGTATAACTTTGTAACTTCACCCTAGCCTCTCATTGGTTGTACGGGAGTGTGACTTTGTAACTTCACTTCAGTCTCTGGTTGGCTGCTTTCTGCAATCAATCAGAGTGACTGTGGGCAACCACTTCATTTACATGGCGGAAGCATGAAGTGGCCAATGGGAAACCTCTAGTGGGTATTTGGACCCAAAAAGATTCTGCATCCTGGCCCTTGGGCCGCTGCTCTAGCACACTCCCACACTATGGAATGTACTTTCATTTTCAATAAATCCCTGCTTTGGGTTCTTTTGTTACTTCATACTTTCTTTGCTTTATTGGGCATTTTGTCCAATTCTTTGTTCAAAACACAAAGCACCTAGACAACTTGCAGTCACAGCCCTCTACTGGTGACAAGGAAAGGTGGCTCAAGCCTGTGATGCTAGCACTTTGGAAGGCCAAGGCGGGAGTATCACTTGTGTCCAGGAGTTCAAGACCAACGTGGGCAATACAGTAACACCGTTTCTACATAAAATTTAAAAACTACCCAGGCATGGTAGTGTGTGCCTGTAGTTTCAGCTACACTGGAGGCTGAGATGGGAGGATCACTTAAGCCAGGGAGGCTGAAGCTGCAGTGAACTCTATGATGGTGCCATCGTACTGCAGCCTGGGTGACAGAACAAGACTGTCTCAAAATAAATAAATAAAATTAAAATAAAGCAACCTTTTAAAACTATTTTTAACATTATTAAAATTATTAAAGAATTTAAAATTATTAAAGTTATCTTTTCAAACAACTATTTAAAAAACTAAAACCAGGCTGGGCACAGTGGCTCACGCCTGTAATTCCAACACTTTGGAAGGTCAAGGTGGGTGTATAGCTTGAGGTCAGTAGTTCAAGACCAGCCTGACCAACATGGTGAAACCCTGTCTCTAGTAAAAATTCAAAAAAAAATTAGCCAGGCATGGTAGCGGGCACCTGTAATCTCAGCTACTGGGAAGGCTGAGGTAGGAGAATCACTTGAACCCAGGAGGTGGAGGCTGCAAGTGAGCCGAGATGGTGCCACTGCAATCTAGCCTGAGTGACAGCAAGACTGCATCTCGAAAAATAAATACAAATAAATAATAAAATAAAATAAACTGGAACCAATGTAGTAAAATAAAATTAAAATAGTTTTTTAAAGTGTAATCATTCCTTCTTTTTTTTTTTTTTTTTTCCTTTTTGTGGAGCACAGGATCTTGCTATATTGCCCAGGCAGGTCTCGAACTCCTGGGCTCGAGCTATCCTCCCGCCTCTGCCTCCCTAAGAGCTGGGATTACAGGTGTGAGCCACAGCACCTGGCTAATTCCTTCTTTTGTTAAGTTTTTGGAATGAAGAAAAAAGATGTAAGCTCATTTTGCATACAGTAATGTGCTGGTTGTCACTAGCTCCTCACAGGCAAAAAGCTCTGATGTAGAGCCTTTTTTATTTCCATTGTGCCATCATCAGTTTCAAGCTGCCAGTTACAAACCTGAAACCACTAAAGGTGGAGTCTGGAAGAAATGAGCCATAGCATACACACCATTATACGGTACATCCACCACACGCACACTGGACACAACCTCAAAGCACAAACAGGAGTAAAATAGAGTCATTAGGAAGTAGTAAATTCTGAGTATTGATTGCCTTTCTTTTTACATTGTTAATAAAAGCATTTACTTTGCATTTTATACAGAATAACCTGCAAAAGCATGGAACGCTTCACAGATTTCTGTGTCAGCCTGTGCGGGTACCATCCTCGTCTTCTCTATGTTGTTCTGATCTTAGATAAGAGCTGCTGAAGAAAACGCCTTTGTTTTTAACGTAACTGAATTAAGTATATATCATTTATTTTAATATAAACTAGCTTTTAACAACAGTTTGCAGAATTCCTAAAATGCAGCCAGCAGCTCCTGTGAGTTGGGAGAAGTGGGCACAATCTGGCCCCAGCACATCACTGATGGTGAGAGTCAGTCACTCCATGCAGACAGCTAAAGAGGCCTTCCCAGGGCTGTCCCTGCACAGGTTCATCTAGAACCAGTTCATCTAGAGTGGCCAGGACAAACTCACTCTGTATTCTACCACGTCCACAAAGCAGAAATTAAATACTACTCTTGAAAAAAAAAAAAATTGTCTCTTTGAAAAGTAATTTTCTTCCTCCTAAGAGGATTTCATGAGATTAGAAAACAATGCTAGCTCCTCAATTTTGGTAGGCTTTTCTAAGAAAGTGAAAATCAACTATTCCAGATAAAGTATTTACAATATGCAAAGACATTTGATTTCTCTTTTTTTTTTTTGAGACAGTCTAGCTCTGTCGCCCAGGCTGGAGTCCAGTGGCATGATCTCGGCTCACTGCAGCCTCTGCCTCCCAAGTTCAAGCAATTCTCCTGCCTCAGCCTCCCAAGTAGCTGGGATTACAGACACCCACCACCACACCCAGCTAATTTTTTGTATTTTTAGCAGAGACAGGGTTTCACCATGTTGGCCAGGCTGATCTTGAACTCCTGACCTCAAGTGATCCTCCTGCCTCAGCCTCCCAAAGTGCTGGGATTACAGGCATGAGCCACCACTCAGTCAACATTCTATTTCTTTTGTCAAAGTAGATGTCTTATACTGATAAGAAGTACACACTAACTCCAAAAGCCTTTATGGTTACAAGTATAAAAAATGTGTTTCTGTACCTGTACCATACATATACTAGTGGGCTCTGAAATAATCCACTCTTACTTTCCTAGCAGTGGAAAAATGACCTCTCACTCTCTCAATAGGAGTAAGATTATTTCAGAGCAAATGAGTCACAATAAGGTGGCCCAATCGTGGTATCATCATTTAATTATGTGTAGCATTTGGACCTTTTAAAATGTTTGACCTGGTGAAGCCTGGCTCTTGGCAGGCTGGCATTTAGTGGGTGTAGTATCACGTTGTGGACACAAGGTGGAGCCAGTGCCATTGCGCTAGGTTGTGACTTCAGTTTAAGGGCAGCCTAAGGTCAGAAACATCCCAAAGGGAAGACCAGAATCAAAACATTTGACACAATAGTAAGAGACAAAAAAAATAGGCAAAACATTTTATCTGCTCTGTTAAATAGCTAGTATTATGCTAAGGATAAGAGAACACTGAAAGCAATTCAAAAATGTCTAAGGACAAAGCAGGATGTGAAAATGATTTTCATTCATTTAACGAATATTTGGACCCTATTATGTGCTGGTATCATTTACAGTACAGCAGAGAACAACATAAAGACCCTTCCCTTACAGAAGGCATTTTTCACACATTAACCGTATTTTGGAAAAGTAATGAAATGAAGCTAAAATAATGGCTAAATCTCTTTATTCAGCAGAGCTATTCTGTTCAAAAAAACCCTCTTTTTCCAAGGTCCCTCATCAAGAGATCATTTTTCCACTGCTGAAATATGGTTCCTGAACACTTGGTTCTAACTTGCTGCAGTATTATTTCTTACATAGTCCTATGTGCTAGAGTTTACAGACCCCTAATAAACCTGGATCTTCTGCACATCATTAAAAACAAAAGCTCTGTAAAATACTGGACATTACACAGGGTGATTGATAAATAATTTAACCACAAAGGCACTTTTCATCTGCCATGACGCAGGCACTCCCCTCGGAGCTGTGACTACTGTGAATTAGACAAAATCCCTGCTCTAATGGAACTTACAATCAGGACAGTGAAAGAATAAACACAAATCTAAGCTAATTTTAGGTAGTGATAAATACGATGAATAAATCCCCACCATAATCATCATTTTCATAGCTGTTTCGGTTTGCTAGCACTGCTATAACAAACTGCCATAGACCGTGTGGCTTAAACCATAGAAACTGATTTTCCCAGTTCCAGAGGCCAGAGGTTCCCGATCAAGGTGTCAGTAGGTTGGCTGTTTCTGAGGCCTCTCCTTAATTTGTGGGGGACCACTTTTCCCCCCCGTGCCCCCACACGGTCACCCCTCTGGGTGTGGGCATTCCCAGTGTCTCCCTGGGTGTCCAAACTTCCTCTTCATATAAGTACACATGTCACATTGGCAGAGGGCCCACCCTAAGAGCCTCATTTTAACTTAATCACCCTCCTTTTTGTTTAGGCTTTTTTTTTTAACTTAAACACCTCTTTAAAGACCTTATCCTCCAACTAAGGTTACATTCTGAGGGATACTGGAGGTCAAGACTTTCAAACATGAATTTGGAGGGGATGTAATTCAGCCCATAACAATGATAATAATAAGATCTTACAGCTGCTACCACCAAGCTTGCCTGGCCACCCTCCCTCCTGCCTGGCCACCGGCCCTCCTGCCTGGCCTCCTGTAGTAGACCACAGGGTGTCATTCTGCTTCTCTTGCCGGCCGGCTCAGTGCATTCTCACAGTAGCCACACAATCTTTTTAAAATGGAAATCAACATGTAATGCCCTGCTTAAAACCCTTCAATAGCTTCCTGATAAACTTCTTCCTGATAAACTGCATTGATAAACTTCTTTTTCTTTTTCTTTTTTTTTTGAGTCAGAGTCTCGCTCTGTACCCAGGCTGGAGCAGTGGCGCAATCTCGACTCCCTGCAACCTCCACCTCCTGGGTTCAAGCAATTCTCCTGCCTCAGCTTCCCAAGTAGCTGGGATTACAGGTGCCACGCCCAGCTAATTTTTGTACTTTTAGTAGAGACAGGGTTTCACCATGTTGGCCAGGATGGTCTCGATCTCTTGACTTCGTGATCCGCCCAACTCGGCCCCCCAAAGTGCTGGGTTTACAGACATGAGCCACCGCGTCCAGCCCTTTTCCATGGCATGTAATGCTCTACATAATCTGGCCCTGCCAGTCTTTTTGGCTTACCCGGTGCCACCCTCTAGCCACCCCACAGGTACACTATCCTCTTTGCTTTTCTCCAATATCCTAACCCTCTCCCCTTCAAAGGACCTTTATATTTGCTCTCCCCTAGTTCACACAGCTGTCTCCTTCTAATCCTAAAGATGTTAACTCAGAAATTACTTCCAGAGGCGCTTTTCCTGACCAGAACCTCTAAACTGTTCCATCCTGCCTAACCACGCCCCAATTCTCTAATTTATTATCCTACTTTATTTTCTTTATAACACATTTGGTTACATCATCCTGTTTTATTTACAATATAGCATTTATTACTATTTGAAAGCATAGTTATTACTTGTTTACTTGTATGTTATCCATTCTTTCCCTCTAAAATGTAAGTTCCTTGAGGGCAGAGGCCTTGTCTTTCGTTGCTGTATTCTAACACCTAGAAGGAGCTCACATTTAATAGGGAATCAAACATTTGTTGAATAATTCATGATTTTTTTTAATAGACAGGGTCTCACTATGTTGGCCAGGCTGGTCTTGAACTACTGGGCTCAAACAATCTTCCCACGCCAGCCTCCCAAAGTGCTGGGATTACAGGTGTGAGGCACCATGGCCAGCCAATAATTAATGAATTTGTAGAACACTTTATAGCTTGAAAAATGCCTTTCAATTAAACAGTACTTTCATATATATCCACTCATTTCTTATTCTTTTTTTTCTTTTTTTAGGTGACATTTTACTCTTGTTGCCCAGGCTGTAGTGCAATGGTGCAATCTCCGCTCACCGAAACCTCCGCCTCCCGGGTTCAGCCAATTTTCCCGCCACAGCCTCCTGAGCAGCTGAGATTACAGGCATGTGCCACCACACTAGCTAATTTTTGTATTTTTAGTAGAGAGAGAGTTTCTCCATGTTGGTCAGACTGGTCTTGAACTCCCAGCCTCAGGTGATCCTCCCACCTTGGCCTCTTGACGTGCTGGGATTACAGGCATGAGCCACCATGCCCAGCCAAAAATTAATGAATTTGTAGAACACTTTATAGCTTGAAAAATGCCTTTCAATTAAACAGTACTTTCATATATATCCACTCATTTAATTCTAACATCCATCTGTAGTATACTCCCCATTTTAAATATAAGGAGACCAGAACTCTGAGACGACACCTGACGTGCCCTGCTGGTAACATAGCTACTATGGGGCAAAACTGGGAGTTGGCCCCATCCTGACTCCTGGGCTTGTCTCTTAGCATTTTTTGCGACAACATCTTGGAACAAATCTTGATGGTTAGTGTGATTCAAAGGGAAAAGCAGTGGCAGAGAAGACTCAGGTGCAGACCAGACCACCACGCTGTCTGCATATTTCTCAAAGAGGCTTTGGTCATAACGAGGGTTTAACAAATGTTGACTGAATTAATGGACTACAGCATTTTTCTGTGTTGCGAAAGGCCTAAATAATTCTAAATTCCACATTGCCAAATGGCTGCCGACTGCTCAAACAAAACAAGAGCAAGCCCACTGTCCTGGAATTTCCTTCTTAAAAGTAACACTGAAGCACCACTTGGCAAACGCCAGTCCGTCCCAGGCAAGATCAACCAGTGATGCTATTTCTGGGCAAGAGTTTGAGGGGAAACGGTATTTGCAGTCTCAAAGTGTCTCCCCCAAGATATTTACCAAATACAAAAGGAGAATTAAAACCTTTGCTGTGGGGAAACCTGGAAGACACTATCTCAAGCGAGCCATGAAGGTTAACAGCACAGTTCTAAGACAGCAACATCGTGTATTGCCTGACACAATGCTCCAGAAGAGCACTGACTCGCTTGGGTGTGGTATTCCTGCCAAAACCATACCGCCTCAAGCTAATCACAGGAAAATATCTGGCAAACCCAAACTGAGGGTCATTCTACACAAGAATTCAGCAGGATTTTTCAAAAGTATCAAGGTCGTGAAAGACAGAAACACTGAGAAATTGTCCAGACCAGAGGGCTAAGGAGATGAGGCAACAA